GCTGATATGCAGGGTGAAACAGAGAGAGAGAACACCCTGATGGTGTCGAAACCTGTGACCCAAGCATTTCTAGAGCCCATGTTCATCCCAGCTTGATCAGATGAAGCAGCAAATTGGACCCTGGGATGCAGCTGGGAGAAGAGGTGAGAGAATTGGAGCAGCAAGAGCCAGATCCCCAAGGGCCAGGAGAGGGAATTTCGATACTATCCTGAGGACAAAGGGAAGACATTAAAGCAGGTGCTTAATGGAGGGGAGACAGGGTGAGATCTGTGTTTTTAAAGATCATGCTGTTTTGATAGACAGGACTTGCTAGGAAGGAGAAGGGGTAAAGAGGAGAGGCTGATGGTAGGGGGCTTGTGAGAAGACAGATCTCATCCTCACCCCAGATATCATGAGCCAGAGGGAAGGGGCAGACTTTGGGTCAGACCCTGTGGGTTCCAGTCACAGCCCCAGCTCTTCATTGCTCTTTGACTTTGGGCAAATTATGTGGGCTCTGTTTTGTGCTGGGGATGGATAAGTGTAGAGAGAGGCATTAGATGTCATGTGGTCATTCAAACAGCCTTGAGCTGGGGACCAGAGATCCTCGTCCCAGTTCCCATTAGAGAAGGTCATGGCTCAGGTGGTAAAGAATCTGCTTGCAATGTGGGAGACCCGAGTTCAATCTCTGGGTCAGGAAGATCTCCTGGAAAAAGGAATGGCAACCCATTCCAGTATTCTTGTCTAGGAAATCCCATGAACAGAAGAGCCTGGTGAGCTCTAGTTCATGGGATCACAAAGAGTCGGACACGAGTGAGCAACTAACACTTTGACTTTGAAGATAACTCGTGTGCGTAGAAACCCATGCCACCCCACCCCTTCCCAACCTCAGCCAACCTCCTAAGGCACTTCCTGTTCATCTTCCACAAACTGACCCTGCAGGAGAAGAAGGCCGGCAGTGGGTCTATTCCAGGGACCAGGGTGAGGGGAAGGAGGGTGGCCAGGCCTGCCCTGGAGAGAGATGCCATTGTGCCTGGTGGAGCCCCAGGCCTTCCCTCACCCCCAGGCCAGCCCCAAACCACAGGCCACGTCCTGTTTCTCAGAAATACTGCCATTTCCCAGAGCCCAGGGTTCGTGAGGGGACAAGGGGAGGTGGCTTCACAGTTGCTAGAGGAGGAGGAGGGGAGGAGGAGGAGGGAGCATCTCCAGGAAACCTGGAGGCCAGGCTTGGCCTTAACAGCATGATCAAGTTTGGAGGCCAGAAAGCTCCGTGAGAAAGTTGAGTGGAGCAGAGGCTATGCCTGTCCTAGCCCAAGACCTGGTCCTTCCAGTGCTCTGGGATCCTTCAGGTGCAGAATCCCAGACCTCCCTCTGGAACCCACCCCCACCCCCACAACCCCCTCCATTTAATGATGTTTGATCTTGATTAGGTCACTTCCTCTCCCAGAAGTTTCTTCTTCACTGTGTAGTTGACAGTCTTCACCTCACTGAGTCGTCCTGGGCATCAGATGAGACATTGGATTTGACCGTGCATGTGGGAAGGGATGTACATGCTTCATCCAGAGCCCAGGCTATGCCCAGCCTGGCTACCAAGCAGGATGGCGGATTCCATGGGACTCCCTACAGCAGTCTTGGGGAGCACCTGGAGACCACTCCATCCTCCTCCCCATCACACTCATGGGGAGCGCAGCCAGGGTTAGGCAGCAAGTTGGTGACTAAGGAAGAATGGAAAATCACTATGGAATAGAAAGTGAATGGAAAGTGAAAGTGAAAGTCACTCAGTCGTGTCTGACTGTTTGTGACCCCATGGGCCATACAGTCCATGAAATTCTCCAAGCTACAATACTGGAGTGGGTAGCTGTTCCCTTCTCCAGGTTATCTTCGTAACCCAGGTCTCTCACACTGCAGGTGGATTCTTTACCAGCTGAGCCACCAGGGAAGCCCAAGAATACTGGAGTGGGGAGCCTACCCCTTATGCAGGGGATCTTCTCGACCCAGGAATCGAACCAGGGTCTCCTGCATTGCAGGCGGATTCTTTACCAGCTGAGCTACCAGGAAAGCCCCTGGTATGAATGGATCTTAACTTGTTCCTAAACCTTCCCTTCCTCCATCCTCACTCCTGTTTCTTCTACTTTTTCCTTTCCCGTGAGGTCTCCTCATCACCAAGACTTGCTTAAATCCTGCCTGAAAAACCCACTTCTTCTGTCTTATGTCTACTGCCAGCCACTGCCCTGCCTCTCTCTCCTCTGTCACACTCAATCTATTTCCTCACCCCCCAGACACTGCCTCAGCCCCCCACAACCTGCTCCTGCCTCCCAGCTCCCCTGACATGGCCCATTGCCATGGTCCCCACAAGCCCCCTCTCCCCATGGAGAGCCCTTTCGAGGTCTCATCTATTGGACTCAGCCATGCACTCTCCTGACTTCTCTCTTGCCTCCATGCGGTTCCTTTGCTGATGCCCCAGGGCTCTGTCCTAGTCCCCTTCTCTTTTCACTCTATAGTCTCTCCCAGGCCAGCATCTCCCATCTCCAGGTGTTAGTTACCACCTGCAGGCCAACAGCTCCCAAATCTCTGTCTCTGGTCCAGCCTCCTTTCTGGACCATAACATACCTAAAGGACTAGGGTTCTCGCCTGAGACTCAGCTCAGCTGAAACTCCTGGGTTCTCCCCTCAGCCACCCCGTGAGGCACCAGCTCCATCAGACTCCCTGCTCTTCCTCAGCCTGACATCCATCCCAGCCCAGCTCCTCTCTCCTGCCCAGGCACTGTCCTCCCTTCCCTGGATCCCACAACAGCCTCCTACCTGGTCTCCGTCTCACTCCTCCACCCCGCCCTTCACCAGCAGGCAGGGCCAGCTCTCTAAACCACAAACCTGACCGAAGCACTGAAACCCTTCCAGGGCTCTTTGCTGCCCTCGGGGTGATGCCAAAGCTTCTCGGCTAGGTATTCAGCCTCACCTCCCTCTGCTCTTTGCCTCACATTTTATTATCCAGCAACAGTGAACTGTTTGTGGTCCTCCCTGTAAGAAGCTGTTTTTCATCTCCCCACAGCGATCTCTTCCTGTGCCACTGTCCACCTAACTTTCCCTCCCTCCCCTCCACCTTTTCTTCTAACTCCTGCTTATCCTTCAGACCCAGCGAAGTGTTCTCCATCTGGGCAGGGGCTGTGTTCCCCATGGCCCTGTGGTCACAGCCCTTGAACTCATGGTGTTGTAAAGACTCATCTCCTGCTCAAGATTTTGGCTCACTCAGGACAGGCAGGGAACCATGTTGGTTCCTTATATCGTGTTGGTCATCTAGCACAAGGCCTAGACCAGAGTAGCTCAGAAACTGTTTTAAGAATGAATAAAGAGAAGGAAAAGACAACTCAGAGGGATGTCAAACCCTGGGAGAGCTGCTTAGAGATTCTGAATGTGTTGACACACTCAGAAAGCTCTGGACCAAAGTCAGGAGGTTCTGATGTGCTGAACATGCCTCCCACGGTGGGAAAGATTTGGGGTGTATAGCACAATTTTCAAATAAGTCCATCAGAGAAACCAGGGAGGCAGTTGGCCTGCAACACCAGGACAAGTATATGGGGAAGTCATTCCTGTCCTGACGTTCAGGAAATGCCTCTGCTCACAGATCCCTGCCTCCAATACCATTCTCCAGTGAGGGAAGGGGTCCCTGTGCTGGGAGGGACAGGGATGGGTTCCAGGAGGCAGGGAAATCTCCACTGAGTAGAAGACATCTGAGTTAGGCTGAAGGATGACCAGTTATTGGTGTTAACTGATTCCTGGGCTTTCAACTCAGGAGATTCAGAAGCCACCCTGGACTTCAATTTAACAGGGTGAGCAAGCAAGGCTGGAATGAGGAGTCTTCTCCAGGAGGGACAGGCAGAAGCTGGGAGGAGCTGGATGTCTTCTTACTCCGAGGATGAGGGGAAGATTCCAAGCATATTCCTCAAACCCCACTGTCTTAGAAAAGGCCCTGGGGAGTGGGCAGGGGTATTTGGGGGAGGATGATACCCCTCCCTGCTCAGTGAGGCCAGTGTTGGGAGGCAGCTTAGCTGACTTCCCCAACCTCAGATGCCCAGGGATAAGACAGGGGCTCGGAGCAGAGCCAAGTGGCTGCAGGTGGCAAAATCCAGCTCACAGGCCACTTGACACCGTCTCTCCATGGCTTCCCATCAGATTTGGGGATGGGGGTGACATGTGACTGCAGGTGAGAGCACAGGTCTGCGAGTCAGTAGGTCTGAGCTCTGGTCCTGGCTTCACCACTCATCACTGTGAGGCTTTGGGGAAGACACTGGGCGATCCTGAGCCTCTGTCTTCTCCTCTCTAAAATGGGAGTAATTCCTATATTGTTCACCTTAAGTAGAATCACAGGCATTGAAAGGGAAAGGAACTGTACCAATGGGCAGGATAAATGACTGATGTTGTCTTTAATTGTAACTGTTAGGCCTTCTTCCCAGACCGTGGTGCCAAGGTTGGCAATCTGACTGCCAAGTCTTGGAAAGCCTCTGAGGTGAGAATATTCGGGTTTATAACATTGGTCACGGTGGAACGGGAAGGAGTGCGAGCTTGGAGCAAGAGACCTGGCATACAATTCCGAATCTGCTACCGCCCTGCTCTGTGGCTTCAGGCAAATTCCTGCTCTCCCAACTCTGTGTCCTCATTGTAAAGTGTAGCTGACGATTATCAGGACCCCTGCCCTATCTGCTGGGAAAGTACTTTGAGGCTCCGTGCACACCCCTTGGCTGGCTGACTAGTCAGTCCCCCTCACTAGGCTCAGTGCCAAAAAGTTATGGGAAGGGGGGCTGGGGATAGCAGCAGCCCAGAGCAGGGGGGAGGCCACGATGGGGTGGGTACTAGCCCTGGCTCTCAAAGCCACTCACTGGGAGGACTGGGGCCAGCCTCTGCCCCTTCTGCACCTCAGTTCCCAGGCCTGTAAAATGGGGATAACCAGGCCTGCCTGTAATCACTATGAGAACACGCAGAGACTGGAAATGGACTCAACAGGCAGGGTTGAGGGGTAATGCAACTTCTTATTTATTAATATAAAACAACAAAAATGATAAAGCTCATATCTGCAACTGTTCAGATCTTTGTTATAAGGTCTTGGTCATTTTATCTGGACTGGCCGTGACCTTCAGCTCCGGGGTCTGGGCTAGGAAGACGTTCCAGTGACCTGCATGGAGAAAAGAGGAAGAGCTGTGTGTGGGTGTGCAGAGTATGTACGTGTAAGGTGTGTGTGTGGTGTGTGCGTCTGTAGACATGTGTACAACTGAGGCAGGGTGACTGGGGTGGGGAAAACTTGGGACAAGGAGGACCGGGTAGCCTGGGTTTGAAGCCCACAGAGGGGAAGGAGATGGGGACCCCATCCTGCCCCATAATCCCAAGGGTTCTGGCACAGGAACCCACCTTCAACCTGACACCTGTCGGTGACCCTCCCCTCTGTGACTTCCTCCCCACCCACCTGGGTCTATCTTCCTCAGGGTGGTAGGGAGTAAGCCGGGGGCCTCTGTAGGAACGTGGTTAGGAGGTTTCAGTGGGAGAGGTTCCAGTAGAGCAGCTACGCAGCACCAGGATTTAGGGGCTCAGAGTCCCCTCTGACAGCCCTGTCTCCCTTGCCCCAAGACCAGATCCAGCTGGCTCTGCTTCACCTTCCCACTCCCGAGCTCTCGAGCGCCTGAGTTGGGAAATCTCTGGCCCAGACACCCACTGGATTCCTGTGCCGGGAACTGACGTCTGTGGCTGACAGCACCCCCCTCCCGGCACCAGCAGCCTGGAACTCCCCAGGAGGCCCCAGCTTCTAGCCCGACTCTCTTCCCAGGCCCCCGTCTTCAGCCCAGGGTCCCACCTTCGTGGGTGCCGGTGAGCAGCCGGAAGTTCTGTGCCTCTTTCTGGAAGTCTTGCTTCCTGACTTTCTTGATCTGAATCAAGTGGAAGATTCCTGAGGGCAAAGACAAGGGCATGAGCAGGAAAGGGAGGGTGTGTGGTCAGTGAAACGGGGTGACTTAGACACAGGACAGACTCAGTCACCTCCCTTCCCTCCCCTATTCTGACCAGACACCAAATCCTGTGGACTCAGTTTCCTCAATATTTTGAATCTGTTCACCCTATCCCGCAGTGTCACCCTTCCCCTCTGGGCCCCATCGCGTCTTACCTGGGTCACTACCCTAGACTTCTGACCTTTAACCCCACCTCTCATCTGTGATCCTGGCTGCAGGCATTGGAAAACATGCCTGTTACCCTGTCACCCCCTCCTTCCATGACCCTGCTCCTCTCACCATCATCCTGTGCTCACACCCCTCACCTGTCAACAACACAGAGGGGCAAGGAGGAAAGGAGGGAGGGAGGGAGGGAAGCTGCCAGGCCTGCAGGGTCTGATCAGTCTTTTTTTTTCTGGACATAGAATGTATGATAAAAATCAACAGGTGATTTGCTTCAGACACCAAAGCACTACAGGTGTCAGGGTTGTGGCTCCCTTTCAGCTCAAGGCTCAGTTCACCTCATCCCTTGCCTGTGCTCCAGCCCTAACCAGCTCCTTGAGGTCCCTGAAGGGGTCAAGCCTTCCCATTTGCCATCCCCTCTGCCAAACTCCGTCTTCTGTTGCCACAGGTGAACTTCTCATCCTCCTAGCCTTACCTGGGAAGTCTTCCTGATTCTCCCTCCTCCCTTAAATAGTTATAATTTTCTCCTTGGGTTACCCACAGCTCTTGGCTTCTGTTTGTGATTGTTCCTATTTCTAATGTGCTATCATTGTGTCTGTTCTTGCCTCTTCCACCAGACTGGGGATAGAGAGGACTCTCTTCTTGGGTTCCCTGAACCTGGTCCACATTAGGCATGCTGAATGAATGAACGAATGAATCCCTGGATGGATGGATAAGCAAATATATGTGTACCCTCTCTAGGCCAGGCCCTGAGGGGGAATGAGGTATTAACTGGATCTCCTGATGTTTGTATCCCCCAGGGAGCTGGCCACAGGCACCACACATGGTGCAAAACCCTGAGCACTTGGGCCATGAGGTCGCGCCAGCTGTTACCACCAGGGGCTGTGGCCAGAAAGAACAGATGTGACAGCAAGGCCTCTGCTAGGCCAGTACCACCCTCAAGAAAACCAAGAACTGGCCTTGCTTATGGGAATCCGGGTGGGATCCCACCTAGGGGCACAGATGCTCTGGTCCTGGAACTGAGCTCCAGGAAGCTGGGAATGCCCAGCACTGTGCTCAGGCCCCCCGCCCAGGTGCCAGGGAGAGAATATGGGAGAAACTTGCTCCAGAGGCCCGGGCTACATCACAAGTATGAGATGGGGATGGGTCCTGGTGCCCCAGCCTGCCACTGCACAAACCCCCAAACACAAATTGGAGAAGTGACTGGGAGGAGGGAGGTCTCCACGCTGTCACTTGTAAATCGTGATTGAAAGGTCTGGGCTCTTGAGCCTAGAAGCAAGATCTTGTCTGAGGGTCATGGTTGTGCCTTTTGACCTGTGAAGGGTGTGCCAGGCCTGAGAGTGGCTGAACTCTGTGTCCCAGGCGGAGGGGTAGTGGTGGCTGAGTTCCAAGAGACGGGACAGGCTCGGCTTACTGAAGAAGCTTCTCGAGCAGAGCCATTCCTAGAACGGCAAGTGAACCACCTGTCTGGAGGTAGGGAGGGGCTGAGTGCAGTCAGGGGCTGGAGTCCATCAGGGAGGCTAACAGAGGGCCTTCCTTCCCTAGGTCGGGGGAGGAATTGAGAACCTTGAGGTTCCTTCTACTCCTGAAATGCTAGAATTGAAAAATCCTTAACACTAAGCCAGTTCTCTGCTCAGACTCTGGGCCTGGGGCCGGCCCTACTCTGGTGTGGCCTCAGCCCAGTTTCTAGCTCACTTTGTCTCCAGGTCAATTCTCCTCTTCCTCTCCTGGCCCCCAGGCCTGCTGTTTCCACTTGTCTGGGTGAGGAAACAGTAACGGTCTCCCACTGACAATCGGCCCTTGGGAGAGTTTGTTTTGACTTTCTCTGTCTGGGGCAGGGAGGGAATGGGGTGGGGTGCTGATGGGGTATTTCAGCCACCCAGGGGCTTAGGAGGTGGTGGGGTGGGCAGGTTTGCTAGTGAGAGGGTGGCAGGGCCTGGCATTGTGAAATTGAAGAGTCCTTCCTACTTCTACCTTTTCACTGTGTCCCTGGTAATGAGATTTGGCCTTGAGCTATGACCTCCCCCTCTCTCTGCCATCCTGCGCCTTCCTCAGGTCCTCCCCTAAAAGCATAAGGTCACCTTTGTGGAGGTGGCACTGGGGACAGTAAAACCTGGGTTTGAATCTTTGCTTTACTGTTTAAACTGTGTGATTTTGAGCAAGTCATTTTACCTCTCAGACTCAGTTTTCTTATCTGCAAAATGGGGAATTAATATAATACATACCCTTCAGGTTTCTTATGTCTGTGAACTGCACACATTATACATAGTACCTGCTACTCACCAGTCACAGAGCGCCGGACATATAAGCACGGGCTCTGGAGCCAGAGTTTGAGGCTGTCGCTGCAGTGTGCCCCCCTTGCCTTTTTACATCCTGTCCAGCCCAGGCCCACCCTCCATGAAGGTTTTCCTGACCAGCTCGACTCCCAGGGAGCTCCTGCAAGCCATGAAGTCCTGAGGACAGAGGCTCGGCCTGTTACTCTCTGTGATGCCAGAGCGGGTGGGAGGATAAACTTGCAACCCCACCTGTCCAGGGACTGATGGACTCCCAAGGCTCAGAGCAACCATACGATTACTGAACCTCCTTAGCCTCTGGTCAAGTCCCCTCCCTGCCCTTGCTTACAAACTTCCGTGAATGGAACTTGCTCCCTCCCTTCCACTGCAGGAAGACTTTCAGGTTGAGAAGGCACTTCCTCTCATTTAAGGGAAACCTGCTTCTCTGCCATTCTAACCCTACTGATGAGGTAGGATGAGGAGGATGCAGACATTTTTAGCACTTATTATGAGGTCAGGGGTGGTACCTATGTCATTTCACTTAAGCATCTCAAGCCCCTTCTCCCCCATTCACAGAAGAGAAATTTGAGGCCCAGAGAGGTCAAGTGATTGCCCAAGGCCACACAGCTAAGAAATGGCAGAGCCGGGATTCAAACCTAGGTCTGTCTGATTCCAAAGCCCCTGCTTGTTGTTTTGACCCTTGTGGCCACACAGAGCACAACTGCTCCCTCTGCCTGGGACAGTCCTTCAGAGCCATGAAGCCAGCGGTCCTGTTGCCCTGAGTCTTCTCTTCTCCAGGCTGAACAGCTCCGCTTTCTCGGTCCATTCCTCCCACGGCAGGGGGCGGAGTAGAGCAGGGAAGGAGCCGCATCTGACGTCACAAGACCTGGGCTCTAGCTCCTCCACTTACTGGCTGTGTGGCCTTGGGCCAGGTACTTCACCTCTCTGAGCCTCAGTTTCCTCATCTGTAAAATGGGGATAATAATACCTAACTCTCAGGATCGTTGAGGATCAAATGAGATGATGAACGTGAAAGCACTTTGTAAATTTCAAAGTGCTTCACACATTGGTTGTTATTATCATTGTCATCACTCCCTCTTCCACCCCCCACTCCCCCCACCTCCCCGCTGTCAGCCAACCACACCAGTAGAGAAAAGTGACCTTAGAACTAATTCCCAATTAAAGGTTTAATTTGTTTTACTCTATCCAGGGGATTTATGTTTAACAAGAAGAGCCCCAAAGCTGAATTCTCAGCAATTCCCTTCTCTTAACCTTCAGCTGGTGATAGAAGCAGCCTGCTGAACAGGGTAAGTTTCTCACAGAATGAGAAATATGTCGACTTACCTTAGAGGGCTAGGATCCACCATAAAGGAAAGGCTAGATGAGACTAGCCTTGAGGATTTGAGGATGCCGTGAGGGCCCTCCTGCCTGAAAAGATCTCTCCTCCCAGTCTGCTGAAATTCTACCAATCGACAGCTCTTTGTTTCACCCGGGTAAGCATAACTCTGCCCTGGCTCCTCACGAAGTGTAACAACCCCTTTCCCCCAGGAGAGGGAGCACTTCAAGGCCCTGACATCTCAGAGTGGGTGAGAGTATCTCAACTGTCAGAGTCGCTGTCTCCCTCTATCTTGGAATCTGAGACTCAGAGCTGGAAGATGACCTGAGGCAGGTCTCCTTGGGCCAGAGGCACTTAATCAATTCCCTTAACACCCCTGGGAGGGGGCGGCTGGAGCACGGGAAGGGGGACAGGACAGAGTGGGAATGGGCCAGTGCTCACCTTTTACCAGCTTCCAGAGGTAGATCTCCACCTGCTCAGAGGCCTCACGCTCGAGGGCAAAGCGACGCAGGTTGTCCGGGCTTGGGGATACTGACGTGTGGACGAGAACTCGGCCCGATGCCTTCGGACACTTGGTGGCACTGATCTCACTGTGGCCAGGGTCTGCCTTATCCTCTGGGAGAGACAAGGAGCTGTGAACGCTCTGTCTCCCCACTCCTGGTAGCCCAGGAAGAGGGACCACTGGTATGACATCCCCCCCAGGGTCATTAGGGTCCTTGGGAAAGTTCTGGTGCCCCTGGGAAGACAAGGAGATCTCTGGGGAACAGAGAGCGGCCCTCTCGCCTATTCTCCTCCCATTGACTAGCATGTCAGAAAACTTCTCACCCTTCAGGGCCCAGTTCATCTTCCACCTCCTCCAGACAGCCCACCTGGAACAGCTTATTTCACCCTACCTCCCACCCATAGCTTGTTAACCCTTCTTATGCCTCTCACTCATGCCCTTAGTTCTATGCTGCCTTGCATTGCCTTGTAACTGTTTCATGTGGGTATGTTTTCTCTCTAAAATAAACCCACAGGGGGAAAGGCGGGAATCCTATTCTTCAAGTCTTTTGAGTCACTCACATCACCAAACACAGGCTCACAGTGAACACACACAGAAGAAAAGGTTTGGAAGAGGTTGAGGCGCTGATGGCAGTAATGATGATGGAGTGTGATATGGAATAGGTGGTGATAAGTGTGAGGATGGTGACTGTAGTGGTGGTGGTAGGGGTGATGGGGTGGGGTGGGGATGGCGGTAATGTTTGTTTCTGGATCCTGCAAAGTGGATCCAGTCCTAAAGCCTTGACATGCTGGAATTTCAGGGACATTCCCCAGAACTTTCCATGTATCAATACTCCCTGATTGTCTTTCAGGGACTGAAAGACTAAATCCCTACACATCTCCCCACCTTCTAGACTTTTGCTAGTTATGGAGACCTTTGAGGTGTCCAGCTAAAAGCTGTAAGCTGTCTCAATATCTTTAGGGGGAAATGGAGTAGGATCTGAGGGTGAGCCCAAGACCATGTGTGTTTGTGAAGGAGCCCAGCAGCAAGCCACAGCCATTCTCACAGAGAATTCAAGAGAATTCCTGGGTGGTCCAGTGGTTAGGACCCTGCGTTTTCACTGCTGGGGGCCTGGGGTCAACTCCTGGTTGGGGAACTAAGATCCTACAAACTGTGCAGTGCAGCAAAAAAAAAAAAAAAAAAGAGGAAATGTATTTTAAAATAAAGGAAAAAAAAAAAAGGAATTCCCTGGCTGTCTAGTGGTTAGGACTCTACGCTTCTACTGCTGTGGGCCTGGGTTTGGTCCCTGGTTGGAGAACTAAGATTTTGCAAGCCGCATGCATGGCCAAATAAATAAAAAGAATTCAAGTTGAACCTTCATCCGTCATCCCATCATGCTTCTCCCTCACCTTGCCCATCCTGTTTATTAGTCTATAAGTAATTGTTATCCCTTATGTCTAGGTATTGATTTGCAATTCATAAAGCACTTTCATCAACTCTATATCTAAGGCTCAGAAAGGTAAAGTAACCTGTCTTTGCCTAGAAGAGTAAGTTAGGTAGATAAGTATGTCAGGGAGCAAGCCCATGCAAACTCACATCTCCTGACAGCAAATTCTGGAGCAGGTGGAGACTTAGGATAATAATAGCCACTCAGCTATCTCATTTGTGAAATAACTGAGATGGAAGAATTAAGTAAACTCTATGAAATCATAGTACAGTACTGGGCGCACAGTCAGTTCTCAGCGTTTCCTTCCTGTTTCCTCCCCGTTCTCCTCCTTTCAGTTTTGCTAGCCAGCCCTGTCAGAGATGTGACCAGGACAGTGCCTTCTACCCCACCTGCCTTCCTTCCAGGCTTGAGGGAACGGGCCCGCCCCTTACAACAGCTCCTGCTGACAGTCACAGACTGCTCTTCTCAATGAGATGCTCTGACGTTTTTTCCTGCACAACCATTAATCCTAGGGTCACTGTTGAAAGAACTCAGCCGGCAACTCTGGAAGCCTGACTTCTAAAAGCTTTGTTCCCCCCACCCTCTGCTGTTTCCTCCCACCCTTGGCTTTTAAAACCTTCCTGCTTATGCCTTCCACTCATGCCCTTAATCCCACATTGCCCTGCATTGCCTTAAAACTGCTCGGCTGTGTTTTCTCTCTAAAATAGACCCATAAGGTCAAGGGAAGGAATCAAGTCTTTTGAGTGACTCATACCACCAAACACAGGCTCACAATGAACGCACATAGAAGGAAAGGTTTGGGAGAGGCTGAGGTGATGGTGGCAGTAATGACGATGATGAGTGTGATACGAGAGAGGTTTTAGAAGGACTTCTAGTTCCAGCTCCACTGCTCCTTCGTTGTGTGACTTAGGAAAGTCCCTTCCCTTCTCTGGGTCTCAGTTTTCCCATATGTTGATGAGGACTGAAGGCAGACAACAGTGATCAGGAGTATCGTCTTTGTGGGGATTCCCTGGCAGCCTAAGTGGTTAGCACTAGGTGCTTTCACTGCTGTGGCCTGAGTTCAATCCCTGGTTGGGAAACTAAGATCCAGCAAGCCTCAAGGCACGACCAAAAAAAAAAAAGGAGAGCATTGTCTTTGGAATAAGACAGACAGGGTTCATATCCCAACTCTCACTTGCAGTTTCAGGACCTGGGACAAAGTATTTATCTTCTCATTCTGTAAAATGGAGATGAAGATGACTACCCTGTCCACTGTAGTAAGGATTGCATGCATTCATGCAAAATACCTATGTGGCACGTAATAAGTACACAATAACTGTTGACCATTCCTCTTAAAAGGAGGTTCAAAAGGGGAGGATATATGTATACCTATGGCTGATTCATGTTGAGGTTTGACAGAAAAAAACAAAACTCTGTAAAGCAATTATCCTTCAATAAAAGAATATATTATTATTATTTTTTAAAAAGTCCTAATAGCCTAAGATTCTATGACTACACTGAATCCAGGACATTACTTGATTCTGTGTATGCCTGAGAGCCTCTGAATCTGTAGCACTAAATGGTTCTGTACGTCTAGTATTATATGAGTTGGGCATTTCTCACTGCTATGTTTTTGGCATTCTGTGCATCTAAAAGCCCCTGAATCCCACGGCTCTGAGTCCATGCCCCATCTATCCATGCCCACATGAGATGTTCTACGTGTCTGTGCCCTGGGGAGAGAGACCCAGGCCTTGCTCTGGCCAGTGCCCTCCCTGCCCCCAGGCTCTCTTTGTACCTGGACAAATCTTGCAGCACTTCCCGGCTACTTTCTCGGGGTGCTGGCAGGGGTACTCAGTGGGGCAGATCACCCGCTGGCAGTCCTGGCGGCCGTCCTGACAGGTGCACACGATGCAGGGCAGGGGTCCGAAGGAGCGGAAGGCTGGGTGCCACACCTCCCCATGGGAGTATGTCTTCCCACCATGCACACAGGCTGGGCCAAGGAAGGCAGGAAGGGAGGAGGGTCAGTACCTTGGGCTTGGGCCGGAGTCCAATAATGGGTAGGGGTAGGTCCTTGGGGTGCCCCTGCTTCACCAGTCTGGCCCAGCCACACTGCTTGTAAAGTAGAGGCCAGGGAATAAACCAGTCCCCTGTCCCTGACATCCACCATCTCAGCACTCAGGGAAGAGGTGGGATCAGTAAGTTCTTGTTGAAGATTAAGAGACCTTTCTGCCCATCATGGGCACCTATGGTGGGGTGCGGAGGGGGATGGCCTGATGAGAGGAGACATGTGCTGACACTATCTGGCCATGTGAGTGCGAGCAGGTCCCGTCTGTTTTGCAGCCTCCGTGTCCCATCTGTCAGAGAGCGGCTACAGATGCCACTGTGGCTCCTCCTACTGCACCTATCAGGGTGACCTGCAGTGAGGTCTCTCTCCCTGTCTGCTGCCACAGTTGTCTCCTTGACCCCCTTCCCTGAGCCACCCCAACCATCCTCCTGCAGCCCAGCTCTGCTTCCCCCTTCCTTCATTAAAACCTTTCTTTCAATACCTCCTTATCTTGTAATAATTGATTTACATGCTGTCTCCCCTTCTAGGCTATGAGTCCCTTAAGGAAAGGGACTATTTTCATCTCTGTCTTCTCTGCCTCTCAATTCCCAGAAATATCATGCTCAAAAGAATATTCTATGGCCTGCAGTCCTGGTTCCAGGACTGGTTCTTTGTCTAACTCAGTACTCTGAACCTCAGTGTCCTCATTTGTCAGATGGAAGTTTAGATCTAAGGTTCTATGAGTCTATCAGCCCATGGCCAAGTTGATACTGGGGAACCACTGGGTGGAGGTGCAGGGATGGGAAGTGGGAGCAGACAGGGGCCCCCTTTCCCACCTCAGGGTCTGCAGAGGCTCTGGTTCCCACCTTTCTTATGTTTCTCCTTCAGAACAATCTTGACCGTGGTGCTGCCTGCCTCCTTTGGTCGGAAGTGGCGAGGGATGAAGCCCAAAGGGGCGCTGGGCCCAGTGGGGGACGGAGTGCTCAGGTCTCTCTTTCTCCCGCTGTCCCCTGAACACGGATCCTGGGAATGTCTCTGCAAAGGGCAGGAAGGATGATCACTGACAGTCCACTGCCAGTGCAGAAGCAGAAAAACAGGCTGCAGTGAGAGGCCTGAAGGTGGCCCTTGTGACCGGGCATAGGATCTAGGCAGAAGGAAGGTCTGATGGGGTCAAAGACACTCCTAGGCAACGAATCTTTGAAAATTCTCAGAAGTCAGTGGTTTGAAAGACTAGCCTCCACCGAGCCCTTCTTCAGCTGGCAGTGCCAGAACCTTGGGGCTGAGGTGAGCAGAGGGGGCTGAGGTCTTGATCTGAAAAGTGTAAGTGATCAGGGACCCGGAGAACTTAATATTTAAGGAACAGAGTGAGGATGAGCATCAGAAAATTCTTTGTCTGAGAAGATTTAGGTGATGGGACAGGGAATGGACCTCCAAAGATCCCACCTGACTGCAGAATCCCCCAGGTGAGAGGACTGAGGGCAGGTCCTGTCCAGAGATGACGGAATTTAGGAGCCCTTTTTCTGAATGCAACACCCCAAAACCCCACACCATCAGATTAGGTCTTGAGAGGGTTGGCGGTGGGAGCAAAGCGTATGTGAGACAGCTGTGAAACAGAGCAGGAGCTTCCTGGTCCAAAAATTGGGGATTGAGAAAGGAGCAAGTGGGCTGGGGGCAGGGGTAGAGTTTATCACCCCCTCACTGACACAGAGTCACGTTCCTTCTTCTGCAGCCCCTTCCTGACTGTAAAATCTCTGAGACAGTCCTTCAGTGTCTGGACTGAGCCCACAGGAGTTCCCAGAGTGAAAACTATGTCCTGGGCCCCAGCACAGGCCAAGGAACACAGGAGGTACCCAGAAGGAATGGAAGAGCCCAACACCCCTATATGACTTCCCCACATCATCCAGCAGTTCAGTGAATAGCTGAAACTACTTACTGGAACTAAGTCTGGTGGGTTTCACTTAGCTGCCTCCTATGACAAGGACAGGGGCTTCCCAGGTGGTGCTTGTGGTAAAGAACCTGCCTGCCAATGCCGGAGACATAAGACACACAGGTTCAATCCCTGGGTCAGGAAGATCCCCTGGAGGAGGGCATGGCAGCTCCAGTATTCTTGCCTGGAGAATCCCAAGGACAGAGGAGCCTGGCAGGCTACAGTCCATGGGGTTGCAAAGAGTTGGACACGGCTGAAGCGACAGCATACGCACACCCGTGGCAGGGACGGGGAGGGAGGTGGGTGGCATGGTCAATACCCCCTAGAGAAGGCCCAGCCTGGGAAGGGGGTGAGCTGGCAGAGGAGAAGGGAGAGCTCATTATTTCAGACCCTGGGGAATCTCTTGGGAGAGGAGTCCCGCTTCAAGTGTGCCAGGGTCCAGGTGACCCAGGCTGAAAGCGCAGGTGGAGCTGTTCAGAGGGGAGGCGTAGCGCCGCTGGTGGACAGGGACGTGAGCCAGTGGAAGCCCATTCTCCCAGCTCTTTTCTCTCTGATCAGAGAGAGTCAGGCAGTTTAGCCCATCTGAACGCTAGACCAAGATGGAGAGGGGTAAAGACAGAGCTGGAAAGGTGAGGCAGCCCCAGAGAACTGGTACCTTAGGAGCAGGATGGAAGGCCGGCCCAAGTCAGAGCCCACTCCCTCAGAAGGCATGCTGCCCAGAGGCAGCCTGCATAAGGACAGACACAGGCTCTGAACAGGACACCGTCAGAATTTTCCAGGAGGGAAATCAGGATGCTTGAGGCCTGCCTCTGCCCTGTGTGGTGTTTTTGTTTTTTTCCCCAGACCCCTCCTTCCTCACCAGCCCCTATGGGAGCCGTAATGGAAGCCTAAAGAGGAACCTAGAATCTGGTGGTGGCTAATGGAGCCAACCCAGGGGACAAATGAGACATGAAGACGATAACTGGGATTGCCTGCTCCACAGTCAAGGCGATTCAGGCCCAGGATACCAGCCCCCTCGTCGCCCCCTCCCCACCCTATCCAAAAAGCTGTGCGCTCACCACCCCTTGGTGTGACTGCGTGGTGTCCTCCTCAGCCGACTTCTCACCGGACCCATCTAGAAACCCAAAAGGAAGTCCGGTCAGCCGCTACCTCCTCAACCTTCCTGGCCGGAGCCCTGCGGGCCTCCCCACCTCTAGGCTCTGCCCCTCCAAAGCCTGGTGCTACTCCTGCAGCTCCCATACCAGTAGCACCCTTGGCCCCATGGCTTCTCATTACACGTCTCTTCACCTTCGGGTTGATGCAGTCCCTACAACTGAACTGCAGACTGTATCTCCATGCTGGCCTGTTGGTCATTTAAGACTGAACCCCTTGCCTAGGCCAGAGCATGTCATTCAGTGCTCGTCTCGGATGATATAGGGGCTGCGAATCCCACCCCGACAGCCTGCTTAGCGGCGGTCCCCCAGCAGCCTCTCAGCCCAGCCACATCTGAAGTCACCAGGCTTGGCTTACACTATACACTCCCTGGCTGCCCTTAGCCCCTCTGTCGCTCCCACTGGAACAGCCTAGGACTCCTCCATCCTCTACCCGCCTGGGCCCCAGCACTCAAAACCCTTTGAAGTCCAGCAGCTTCCTAGAGCCCCCCTTCCCCCTGCCTCACATACAGTCTGGCTGCCACTGAGCAATCTGGATTCAAAGACCCAGAACACGGGAAACAGACTGCTTGCTAGAAATCACCAAGTGCAGTCTCTCAGTGCACACACAGCACAGCTGAGGCCCACAGAGGGGAAGGAATCTACAGGAATTCGCTGGAAGAACCAGGACTAAACTGTTTCCTGGTCTAGTGCTCTTCCACAACCCCAACATCTGGGGAAGCATTCCACGGTGGAGTACTGCCCTCCTCGAGGTCTGCCTCCTCCAGGAAGCTTTCCTGGACTACCTCAGGCCACAGGGAACAGTCTGGCCATCTGTGCACTTCATTTTGTCCAAGCTGTTCACCCTGCACTCGCCACTGTGTTGCCTCTCTCTGTTCTGTACAGAGATGCTACTTGGATTCTGCTTGACACAGGAGCTCGGAGCCCCAGTGAACCCAGGCCTGTGCCCAGCTCTGCGATGAGGAAGGCAGGGGGAGACGTGGTCTCTGCTCTACAGATCTCTCTCCTGTGCCTCTTCTGATCCTCTTGGCCTCATCTGACTGCAGGCATTTTGTCCCCTCATTGCAAGCACTGCAACAGCACCCTCTTCACCTGGACTGCAGCCAGCTTCCTTCAGACTCAATCTGGCAGCAGGTGCCCTCATGCCACGCCTCCTCCATGTCTCCGCCCCCATGTCTTATCTCCGCCTCCACCACCACTCCCACCTCCCATTCCCAGGACAGCCCAACACAGTAGGGGAGTGGGAGGGAATGACCCCGCCTTGGGGTGAATCTTTGAGCAGTGGGAGTTGGTGGCTGGTGGACCAATTCCTCCTCTCCCTCTATCACCTCCAGACCTTTCTGAGGAGCAGAAGGCTACTTGGAGCAATAGGTCGCGCGCTTGATGTCAAGTCAAGGCCAGCTCCCCAACACATTCTTGTGCTGTTTTTCCCTCCCTCCCTGCTTCACTTTCCATCCCCTCCTTCCTGCTCCCTGGAATTACAATACAAATACTGCACATTAGCCTCTGGCACATGCTCAGCTGTCTGAGGGGTGCAGCTAAGCCACCACCGAGGAAGGAATTGGGCTGGGTGACCCCTGGCCCCCCTAAGAGTCCATGGCTAGGTCCCTGCGGTGGGTGGGTGCACACTGCCAGATGTAGGGACAGACTCACCTTTGCAGGCCTGGCAGCAGGAGGGGGGCAGCGGGAGGGGTGCAGGGCAGCCTGGTTCCGGGCAGGTCATGAGGCCGCAGTAGATCTGGCCCTCCTGACAGACAGGGCACACAGGAGCTGGGAGATGAGCTCTGCTGAGGACCAGCCTTGGGGCTGGGATAGCCCCTGCTCTGCTGGTCCATGGCCTGAAGTCTCCTCTGAGGTGGGCAGAGGGGGAGCAGCACAGTGTCCAGGGCAAGACCCAGGCAGCTCAGAGGAGGGTCCTTGCACACTTTCCACTCACTCCAGGCCCCAAGGTAACAGTTATCCTTCAGCTTCTAAGCCTTTTCATACCCAGGCTCTTCCTAGGCTTCACAGCAACCTAGTGAGGTGAGATTTTTCCCAACCTACAGAAGGGAAGGCACTGTGGAGGGGCCTGGACCCCCTGAAGTCAGAGACACACCCAGCAGAATGGACTAGAACCCATGTTTCAGGCTCTTCCTCCTGCTATCAATGTCCTTCTCTCCTGGCCTAGAGCAGGGAGCCCAGAATAGACGAGTGGAATGACTGCATGTCTCTTTGGGCCCATCTTGCTCTTATGCAAACTCTAGGTCCCCAACTTCAGGACCCAGCCTGGAAAGGCAAGACTGCAGGAGAAAGGGCCTTCTGGGAGTCAGGAGGCCAGATGACCTTTGGTGAGTCACTTCTCTGGGCCTTAGCTTCTTCATCTGTGAAATGGGGGCACTCCCATCTGGGTTGTGAAATCAAATGAGGGAACGGTTATGAAAACCCTTTTTAAACTGCAAGGCATAGTGTGTCCCTGGGAGGAAGTGAGATTACTTCGAATCCTTCCCCTATTCCTTTTCCAGCAAGTCTCAGAAGTGAGGATTCTGATCCTTCAAACAAGTCCCATATAAACAGGGATGAGAAGAAAGAAGGCGAGACCCAAGTATCCAGGGGGAGGGGACAAGGCATCACAAGAATGCTCTCACCACCTTCCCCTTCCATGAGTTCTCTCTTCCTACAGCCCCCTCTTCATCCAGGTGCAGCACTGTACAGGTAAAGGAGTGTGGGTTTGGAACCATGTGGCCCTGCGTCTGAATCCTGAGTATGTCACTTAACTAGCTGCGTGTGTGTGTGTGTGTGTGTGTGTGTGTGCGCGTGTGCGCGTGCATGCTCAGTAATGTCTGATTCTTTGCGACACCGTGGACTATATATAGCCCACCAGGCTCCTCTGTCCATGGGATTCTCCAGGCAAGAATACTGGAGTGGATTGCCATTTCCTACTCCGGGTAATCTTCCCAACTCAGGGATCAAACCCAAGTCTCTTATGTCTCCTGCATTAGCAGGCAGATTCTTTACCTCTGTGCCACCTAGGAAGTCATGTGACCTTAAGCCAATCACTTAATTGCTCTGAGCCTCAGTTTTCTTATCTATAAAATATGATTAGTGATAGCCTTCTCATAGGATCATTGGGATACTGTATATAAACATAAGGCATTTCCTAGTAGGTACAGTACCCTAGTTTACTTCAAGAGGCCCAGGCCTTGCAAAAATAACCATTATCTAGGTTGACTTCTAAGTGGTCCCTCTTATTATAAGTTGTTTGCTCTGCAGCACAGATACCTTGAAATTCAGACAGAGTGATGGGATCCTTTCACTGAAAAGATGGGAGACAGATCCGAGAGAGTTGACTGTCTCTAATCGTCACACATGGAACCGTGGCAGAGTCAGAGCTGAAACTTGGGTGTCTGACACCTAGAGTGGACCTCTTACCCTCTCATCACTGCTGAATCAGGTGATTATTTAATCAGAGAGGACCTTGGAGATCATCTTGTTAGACTCCCGGGTGTGCATGTATGTGTGCTAAGACATGTCCAACTCTGTGCAACTCTATAGACAGTAGCCCAACAGGCTCCTCTGTCCGTGGGATTCTCCAGGCAAGAATGCTAGAGTTGGTTGCCATGCCCTCCTCCAGGCTATCTTCCAGACCTCATGTCTCTTATGTCTCCTGCATTGGCAGGCAGTTTCTTTACCTCTAGCACCACCAGGGAAGCCTAGACCCCCTTACACACTCAGAAGAACTGAGGCTCAGAGAAGTTTGCTGGTCAGGTGGTAGGGAAATCGAGATAGCAGGGGTTTCTCCCGCCAGTGCACAGATGCACTAAGCCCAAGGGTGAGGATGACACGCTGAAGGCCACCTACAAACGTGCAGCAGGGCCATGCCTGGAACCCCTGAGGAGGAGGGGAAGACTTTCCAGCTCTTCCCCTGGAAAGCTGGGTCCTGCTTGACTTCAGTCTCTGTCTCCTGATGACACTGCTGGTTCAGCTCTGCCTGACTTGACCCTAGGCCCAGCTCTGACCAAAGCAGGGGGAGTTTAATTAGCTTCAGATTAAATTACATTTACTACAAACAGTCTGGCCCTGTCTCTGCACCCCAGGATTGATCACTGATCATTCATTCATTCATGCTATGTGCCAGGCCCTGAGCTGGGGGCCCTGCAGGATACAGAAATGAGTTGAGTATGTCTCCTGCCCTCAAGGAGTGCAGCCTACAGAGGACACAGACATGGCCAGGGTCAGTGCAAGGTGACCAGGCAGCTCAGGATGGCGTGGGAGCCCTGAGCAGGAGGTTCCCACCCACAGATGTTCCCTTCGCTGGAGCCCATTCATTCCCACGCCCTTTGACTAGGAGGGACAGTCCCCCCGGGCCCAGAGCACTGGCCTGCACGAGAGGGGAGTCGAAGATCTTACGGTACAGCTGCAGAGGACACACTGGTTGGGCAGGCGGGAGGGGAGCAGCTCGTGGGCACTGAAGAGCTCGCCGTGTTGGTACGTGGTCCCGTTATGCTGGCAGGACCTGGGTGGGGCCCGGAGCCCAGAAGGGGTATGAGGTTCTGTAGGTGGGGAGGGGAAGGAGGAAGAAGAAAATGGTCTAGGGCTTTATCAGAACTAACTGGGCCACTTCTCTGAAATGTTTTTATCTTATCCCTTGTCGTCATTTAAACCATGCTCTGGCCTCAGCCTTCCCAGCCAGACCTCATTTTGATGAATCAAGAGGAACCTTGACATTTCTCTCTGACCATGTCACTCCTGCCCATGGCCTTTAAGCCCCTGAGTGTCAGAGGTGGCTCTGATTGCAGCAAGAAGGCAAGGCCAGAAGCCTCAGCTCCGCTGAGTGCCACTCAGTTTAGACCTGTGTTAGTTCATTCAACATTCAGTAAGCATCCATGAAGCACTGGCTAGTGCCAGGCACTGTTCTAGGTTCTGGGGATACAGAAGTGAACAAAACAAGGTTCCACATGGAGTTTCATCCTAGTGGAGCTCACTGGTGTGATCTGGACTGTGCTTGATCTTGGAGTAAGTGCCTGCCACTCCCTGGCCACCAGACACCCTCCCCATCACCTGCCAGTTAGCCTGTCCTCAGCCTGCTAGGTAGAGGGGATAGCCCTCCAGTTCAAGGGGAACCTGCTCCTTTTTTCAAGACACCTTTACTAAGCACTTTCTCTGTACCAGGCGCCATGCTACATGCTGGGAATGGAGTGTAAATAAGGCCCAGCCCTTGTATCAGGAAACTGATGGTCTCACTGGGTAGAGAGACAGGCCACAAGCAGTGACACTGGTATGGTCTGGGCTAGGGCAGATGGGAGCACAGAAGTTGTGGCAGTGTAAGAGAGGCACCCCTAGCTCAGCCGGGAAGGGTGGTCAGGGAAGGCTTCCTGAAGGGGCCGAAGGCTGAGACGAGTCTTGAGGAATACGCAGACCAGGCAGGCAAAGGGGCAAGGCTGGGAAAGAGGGAGGGAGTGAGGAGCATGGGAGGAAGAAGGGGGCTAGGCCGAGGCACAGCGGGAAGCGGTCAGGACTCCTGGGGTCGGTCTCAGCTGGGAGGAGGTGTAATGTCCCCTCACTGGTCAGGATGAAGCCTAGAGTCCCTGCTCCCCTAGTGAACCCAGGCCAGGAAACCATGACCCAAGTTGGAGTCACAGTCAGATCCCTACTGGGATCCCACTTGGAAAAGAAGCCCCTCTATGCCCATACTCCACACAGGTCCCTAGTCTCCCAAGAGAGCTGCTTCCAGAGTCTGGAGCTGAGGCTGCAACCTGAGACTCCCTCCGCTTATCACCTTCTCGATGTTACTAAACACGGGTCCTCCTCTTGACATCTCCTGCCTTCTGAGTTGGCCACCCCACTGACTGCCCCTCATTTGCCACTTGCTTATGTCGGTTTCTTCTCAGATCACCTCTCCTCTCTCCTCTCTTATCTCTACTTCCTGGAATCCCAGTCTCAGAGGCTATTAGTAGATTCTTAACATCATGGACATTTAGCCTTGGGGCACATATTAGAACCTCTGAACCGCAGCACAGGAGGAGTCTCAGAGTACATATGCTTCAACTCCTGTGACCATTCCCAGCCCCGGGCAGTAATCTCAGGGTCACCCTGCAGGGCCTCCCAGCCCCAGCTCACTCACCTTCACTTACACGAGGTGCATCCACTCCCTCAGGCTTTGACCAGCCCCCGAGAGAATGGAGCCAGCATGTGCCATCAACAGGTCAAGCACGCCTGTTTTCCTTCAGCTCTTTTCCACGTTCCCTCCCTCCTCCTGGCAAGCACAGCTACTCAAGACTGAGAGGTCTGTGGCCACCCCATCCCTCCTCGGGGATCCATGGAGGATGTCTTCCGTGAGCACCTTGGAGTCTCAACAGCTCTGGTGGCTGGAGTCTGCCCTTCTCATTCCAGGGACCTCCTCTGGCTGTGTCAGGAGTGGGTCAAGGGCCAGTGGGCCGGTGGGAGGCTGGCCCAAGGGCAGACGCGAGGTCACTCACCCACACAGCGGGGACAGCACTGCTGCGGCTCGGTCACGGGCTGGGGGCAGTGCACGGGCGGACAGTGGAGGCGGTAACAGCTCACGTGGGCATTCTGAAGGGGACACAGGGGTCAGTCCTGCTTCCAAACAGCCACTGCCTCCCACTGTCCTCTCCTCAAACCCCCTCCCGACTATGGGGCACTACACTCCTTTTAAGCCTGCAGTGGGATAAAAGTGATAAATTCCACGTGTCCAGTCTCCCTCCCGCCTGCTCACTTTTGTGGCTCACTCATCTGTGTCCCTTCCCACCACGGATGAGCACACCACGTGCCTGGATTTGCACAGATCTCGTGTCCCTTAGTGGTGAGGGACGAAGGAGAGAAATACAAGTATAAGACTTGGGTTATTTTGACACTGACTTTTTTTAAAAGATCTTCTTTTTTTAATGTGGACCATTTAAAAAGTCTTTAATTTGTTACAATGTTGTTCCTATTTTACGTTTTGGGTTTTGACCCTGAGGTATGTGGGATCTTAGCTTCCCCAGGGAGTGAACCCACACCCCCGACACTGGAAGGCAAAGTCTTAACCCTGGAGTGCCAGAGAAGTTCCGCAGCATTGATCTCGACTGTGCCGTCTTAACTCCAAGACTTGCTCTTTTACCTCTGGATCTGAGCCTCATGGCTAACAGGGACTGTGACACACAAGGGCAGGTGACAGGAAAGTGGAGAAGACTCAGGGCTCTGTGATCTGCTCCCTAAGTCTCTGAGAGGTGTGGGTGATCCCACACACAGCCTTGGACTGGAACCAGAGGAAGGGCCCGAAGTTCTTAGGCTTTTTCAAATACAGCAAAGGAGAGAGAAGGGGCAGAGAAACATTCACAGGAAAATGAGCAGACGTGGAAGACCTGGAGGGAGAGGCCACCCCTGGAGGTTTCCCCAGGAGGTTTGTCAGCCTGTCTCAGGTGGCCCACTCCTTCCTCTCCCTTCTGCTCTAAGAGGTGTTCTCTGGGTTGTAACAACCCAGTACATCTGTCTCTTCTATCCAGCGGAACAAGGACCAAGCCTCATTCTGTTCATCTCTGAATTGTCAGCACGGGGCCTTGCTCCAAGCGAGTGCCTGCTGAAGTCTGAATGAGTGAATGAATGAGAACCAGCAGGGGAGGGAGAGATGGTCTCTTTCGTGGTCAACTGGAGTTAGCTTTGTTTAAACTTTGAAGTTGCCGAGTGAGATTCCAGACCTTTGGCCCACCTGAGAGCCCCCAAAACACTTCTACCAAAGCAGCTTCCTGCCCCATGGAGAACCCTGGACCAGGCCCCTAGTTCTGGGGTCACTGCTTCCTAAGATGGCCAGAGGTGATCACAAGGATTAATCAGTGCTAAAGGGCATCCTAGAGTCCACAGAATCTGTCTGAGCTCTAAAAGTGGTCTTCTTGAGGCCTGGGACCCAGGGGTGCTGGATAAACATCCAGAGGGTGAATGGAGCCCCTCAGATGAGAAACTAGGATAGAATGCAAGGAACTTTGGAATCTGAAGAGTTAGAATCTGTCTCTTGATTCTGGCCTTGAAAGTATCAAGGAATGGAGATGATTAGTGAGATGCAGCAGCAAGTAAGGTGGAAACAGGCTAGGGCGCAAAAGGTGAGGGGGCAAGGTGAGAGGCCTTGCAGTCAAAGGGTACCTCTCAGGAAAGTCATAACTACCATTTATTGCATGGCTACTAGGTAGGGGCATTATGTTATATAGAAAAGTATTATCTCACTGCATACTCTCAACAGCCCTAGTGGTATGTATTATTATCCATGATTTTAAAATGAGAAAAGAACCTCTGAGAGGTTGCCTAAGACACACAGCAGGTGAGCACTGAGTAGGTCTGTGCACTTTCCGTGATGCAGAAAATGCTTCAGGTGGAGGGAGCAGGGCCTCACTCATTCACTCAATATTTACTGTATGAAAACTGGGTGCCGTGTCCTCTTCTGCACTGGGGACAGGAAGCAAGAGACACGAGTTCTGCTCTCACGGAGCTTCCATCCTAGCAGAGAGGGAGACAGACTATAAAAAATTAACAAGGAGGAACCAGATCATGTCAGATGTTAAATTTATAACAGGAATAAAACAGGGGAACGTGATTGCGTTAACAAGGTTAGACTATTTTAGAAACGGCTGTAGAGAAAGCCTCATAAGGAGGTAACTTTATGTCGTGCACTGCGAGATGAGAAGGAACCATTCCTGGGAAGATCTGGGGGAAGAACATTCCGAGTGGAGGAGCAAGCTGGAATGAGTTTGCAGCATTGGCGCAGGTAGGAGATGAGGTTGGAGAACAAGGCAGAAGTCAGATGGTTCAGGTGGCATAGATCCCACAGCTGGCAATTTCAATTTTACTTCAGGTGCAATGACAAGCTATTGAAGGGTTTTAAGAGCTTCTGAATGACATGATTAGTTTTCTGTTCAGAAAAGATCCTTTGAGCTGCCATGCAGTGGACAGATTAGAAAGGGGTACAGGAAGAGGGTTTCCCTGGCAGTCTAATAGTTAAGATTTTGCCTTTAATGCAGGGGTGCGAGCTCAATCCCTAACTTCGGGGGAGCTGAGATCGCACATGCCTCACAGCCAAAAACCCAAAAAACCTAAAACAGAAGCAATATTGTAACAAATTCAATAAAGACCTTAAAAATGGTCAACACCAAAAAAATATTAAAAAAAGAGAAAAGGGGTACAGGGAGACTCTGGGATGCTCACACAGCAGCCCAGGTGAGAGAGGAAGGTGGCTTAGATTAGGGGGAGTGATGATGATGGAAAGAAGGAAGGAATTCAGAGTGTATTTTGGGGATGTCAGCTACAGACCCTTGGGGTGAGGAAACTGGGTATGTGTGAACTCCAAGGAGGGAGAAATGAATTAGCTCCACTGATCACAAAACTTGGACTTGGTCAACTGGACCGCATGATATGTCTGGAATTTTCTGTTATGGTTTCCTTTTTGTTTTTTGGCTATATTTCACAAAGTTCTTTTTGAAAAGGCTGATTGGCCTCAGATGTGCTAAGAAACCAAGGGGAGGCAGGGATGGGGGGTTGTGCTCCCACTGGCATCAGGTTTGACCAGGGGCCAACATGGTAGAAGCTGTGGGGAATCAGAGGAAAAGACCCCAGGGGAGTAAGTCCCCAGTGGTCAGAGTCAGGAGAGGGGCTGGCGCACCCCCCTCCACCTTCTGGTGTTTTCTCAGAAGGTCTTCTCTGCTCCTACTCCAAGGACTGGTTTAACAAGGGAGGCTCTCATAGCCTTGGCTGTGCAGGGAAAGAGGGGTCCAAGGGGCTGGCTCTAGCTGGAACTAGGTACCCCCTCTCCAGCACCAGCACCTGGACAGACACACCTCTGGACTTCACACCAATGAGGCTGGTCCCCGGCAGCTGAGCCAGGGCCAAGGGGATTCAAGCCTCCTCAATCACTCTCTCCTTCCCCATCCTCCAGCCCCACACCCAGCCTGGGAATTCTGGACCACATGCAGGTTTCATTTACCCCACCTAGTTGACTGTACAAGGTCCTCTGCTGGGTTGGGGTGGGCTGGGAGGACAGAGGTTTACCAAAAAAAATCTGGTCTCTCAGGGTGCTTGGGGCTGGTGCACTGGGATGACCCTGAGGGATGGGATGGGGAGGGAGGTGGGAGGGGGGTGCAGGATGGGGAACACAGGTACACCTATGGCTGATTCATGTCAATGTATGGCAAAAACCACTACAATATTGTAAAGTAATTAGACTCCAATTAAAATAAATAAATTTTTAAAAAAGTCTGGTCTCTGCCCTAGTTGATGCAGCCTTCGGCAAGACCCCAATCTGGGCAAGAGTAAGTACACAGGAAGACCTGCTCCTAGGGCTCCATGGAGGAGGGGCAGTAACTGACAGACAGACAACCATTGTACCTGGTTGACAGTGATCAGGAGAAAGAGGCAGAGAAACTTATGTGGCCTCCAGAAGAAGAAAATACTTTCAGGTGAGGGATCAAGTAAAGCTATTGGTGGAGGTGGCATTTGAGCAAAGCTGCAAAGAATAAACATTTAGACCAGTGGCACTGGGAAATGCATCCTAAGACTGGGCGGCAAGAAAGGCCGCTGGAGGAGGAAAGGAAGGATTAGGGAGTCAGGTCAGGAAGACTCTGCCTTCTGCTGCGTGGGTACGGGAGGCTGGTGGCAGCAGGAAAGAAGGCTGGGTGAGAGAGGGTAGGTTCATGTCCTCATCCCAGCCCAGTCACTGATCCACTGTGCGATTTATCTCTGGGAGGCCCACAGTAGGCATCTATGCCCATGCCTGAGGTAGTCAGTAGTGAAGTGGTGTGGCCCCAAGTCCCTCAGTTGCTGCTGACAGACCACAGTTCTATGGGGCCCTGGTTCCAGAGTACCCCCCCACTCCAAAGTCAGGCTGTCCTCTTTCCCTCCAGGGTGGCTTCCCTGGGGATCTCCCAGACATACCTGTCACAGGAGGCCAGAGGAACCTACCTCGGAGCAAGTGCAGCGAAGGCAGTACATCAGGCCCTGAGGCTCCAGGTAGGGGTGCCAGCTCTCGCCAGGGGAGTATCTCTTCCCATGGAAAAGGCAGAACATGTCTGGGCCTGGCAAACCAACCAGTGCTTTGTGAGTCCCAGGAGGCTCCAGCCCAGAGTCCCTGCTTCATCCCTCCTTTTTTCTGACTCTAGGAAGGATGTCATCTGGACACTCAAGCAAAAGAGAATCCACAGGACATGCTCTCCTAGACAGGGAGCAAGAATGACTGAGTTTCCATATCAGCTTGACTGGCTGTGTGACTCTGGGCATGTCACTGGCCTTCTGCGAACTTCGACACTTCTCTCACAGAGTGGTTAGGGGATCAAGCAGTGAACATGCTTTTTACAGATTTAAATTGTGGTAGAAATGTTAGTTATTATAATCAGATGAATAATCTGAGGCCCAGAGAGGCCAAACTATACCTCTTAGGACACACAGTCAGTCATCAAGCAAGGATGACATCCGGAGCCTCTTGACTCTCAGGGCAGTGCTCCTTCTGCTCCCATAGTCACTCTTGCTTCCATTTCCTCTGTCCCATTTGGCTTATTTATTTACTACACCTCTGCCCCATCCTCTCTCTTGCCCCCTGCTGCTCACCTGCCTACACACACACACACACACACACACACACACACACACACACACACACACAAACTCTGGGCCACGTGATATATCTTTCGAATAAAGCTACTGAAAGCAGCTCCCTGCTTTCATACTATGCTGCGTCCCTATACATACTCATTGAGCTCTGATCCTTAAGTGCTTGAATCAGGAAAACAAACTGCTGCCTAGTGAAAGGTTGTTACAAAACTGACTTTTAAAATATCCTTAAAAATGGTCAATGGTACTGTGACTGCACATCAATTGATTATTTTTGTAATGATTTACAACTGATATTTACAAATGACTTACAACTGATACAAACAACTGATATGTTGTCAACATGTAGATGAATGCTTTTAAGAATGATTGAAATAGTTTATTTCCTTATGTGGGTTAGGTATCTCTCCTGCAATCCTGATTTCTTACCTCCACCCTGTCCTTTCATAGCCAGTCAGTTGCCCAGTCTTTTGAGCCCTGACTGGAATACTCGTGTCCTCATCCCTTACTAGCTCTGCACCCAGCCCCAGGTCAGGGCTCCATGTCGGGGGTTGAGACCTCCTTGCCCTGCCCCTCTTCCTTTGGCCTTATCCCTTGCCAACCCTCCTGCATACAGGTACCTCTTGATTTTTACAACAGAGAAGGGATGCTATCATTCTACAAAAAACTCTCCATTACATAAAGAATAATCTAAGCTCTTTTAGGGGGGAATCTGGAAGGCCCAGCACAAGCTAAGTGTCCGTAAAGACATACTAAATTAAATGAGATTGAAATTTGGAGAAAGGAACCAATGTTTATCGATGACATTCTATTTATATAAATTACTTATCTTATTAGCATCAATGTTTTGACAATTAAATTATATAATGCTTGGAAAATGCTCACTTAGCCCAGTTCATGACACATAGTTGAATGCTGTAATTATGACAATTATGGTAACAATGACCCTGCTGGATAGACATTATCATCTGTTCCAGATTCAAGAGGATAAGGCAGTTTGACAGGGTCATTGGGATTGTTACTTAAAATTGTTAATTGTAAGAAAACTAGATGAGAAAACTGAGGAGCTGCAAAGACCAAGCTGACTTGCCTGAGGCCACCCAGCTATCGATTTGAACCCAGGACCCCATGCTCCCAAGTAGACTTCCCTTCAGTTCACCTCACCTGCTATGGTTTTTTGCTCAAACTCAGGGCCTCGAGGTTTCTTGTCCCCACTGGCCACCATTCCCCCTTTCCCAAATTTTTTTTTTCTTGGTCCTCTATTAATCTAGAATCTAGAGGTTGCTCTCCATGCCTCTGTCCTGTACACTTTCTAGAGTCTCACACTTTCTGAATCATTCTCTTAGACACTTAAACTCTGCAGAATCACAGAGCATCGAAAACAGTACAGTAGCAGGAGCGGCTCACCCTCGAGATAGGAATTCCCCCTCCACGTTGAAGGTGGGCTGGGATGGAGGACAGGAGTTAAGGGCCATTCTTTTTTTTTTTTTAAGGGCCATTCTTAACCTTTAGAAAGTTGCCTTTGTGAGAAGCTAAGACCAGCCTCCTCGGCTTCCCGCACTGCTTCTGTTGTGCCACTTGGGTTTCCCAGAACAAAGATTTGAGGCCATGGCCATGATGCCCTCAGGGTCTGTGCTTCGGGGGCCACTGAGGACCATGGCTTGGTTTACTCCCCATCTGCTCCTCAGCCCCACAAAGTAGAGGGGGGATCAGACAGCAGATCCCATTCCCAGCAAGGCCCCGGCTGGCCCGTATCAAATGAACAGTGTTTATCTCTCAGCCTCCGCTGGCAGAGAGGGCAGGACACAGGCCCAGCTGGGGTGCTTGTCAGAGCCAGCCCAACTCTCCAAGGATTGAATAATGTCTTTCTTCCTCAGTCCCCTCCCCCGACCAGGAAAGGGCGCAATTGCAACACTGCTGCGGCCTTAGGACTTAGCCTTGCTGTTGAAGAAATCCTGTCCCACCTTCCCTGGGACAGCCCTGCAGCCTGACCCTTGTGCCAGCTGGCACCCCCACTCCCTCCCCTCGCCTGCTCAGAGTGTGAAGACAGAGAGAATATATCAGCTCATGCCCAGGTTAGGAGGCCCCTTCCCCCCACTGATGGACCTGGCAGCAGCTAAGAATATGGGGGGCCTGGCAAACTGTCCCTCAACCCCAGGAGCCACAATCCCCACCCCACCATGCCCTCCAAGGTGAGAAGCACAAGGAACGGTGGCATTGCCTGGAACTCCCTCTTCTAGGGAGGTGAGTGCCCAAGGCCACACCAAAACCAGGCAGGAGGAGGAACTGGCAAGACTGCAGGCTCCCTCCGTCATGCAGCTCTGGCACTCGCCCCATCCTTGCGCTTGGCTGGTAGGGGCTCTAGCTCCTTATGCCACGAATTCACTGTGTGATGTTGAGGAAAGACCCTTGCTTCCCTTCTCTGGGCCTCACTTTCCCATCTTCAAAATAAGGAGTGGGCATGAACTCTGATCTTCATAGGTTTTCTATACAGATACTTTATGAATCCATGATGTCAACATTCTAAGACTCCAAGGTTCTCAGTTTCTAAGACTTAAGATTTGAGAATTCCAAGCTGCTGAGAGCCTACATATCATGAGACAACAAAGCTTCTAGAACTGCATGATGTTGTGATTCTAAGATTTGATCATTTCAAGCTTCCATGACTCAGGATGTGTTGATGGTTCTGTACACCTAGGCTCGCAGCAGCTCCAAAGAGGGTAGGACGTGGCCCAGGCAACAGTGCCGCCGATCCTGAGAGACATGGAGAAGGAGGCAAAGCCTGCTTCTCACATTCCCTCCCTTCTCTTCTCCTTTCTGTGGTCCTCTGTGGTCTTCCCACTCTGGCTCTGGCACCCCACCACCACATCTCCGACCACCTATCATCTCTTTCTCCAACTTAGGGACCAATTGCACCTTCTCTCAGGGGGACTTTGGCAGTTAATGGCCCCAGCAGTGATGTCTAATCCAGGAAGACATTAGTGGAGGAAGTTTTTGTTTGAGGAGGATGATTGGAGCTGTTCTAGGCTTTAGAGAGACAGAGAAGAACAGTGACAGGTCTCATCCTCCTCACCCAGTGTGTATATAGTCCCCAAACTCTGATGTCAGAGTCAGATAGGCTGGGGTTCCAATTAAATTTGGCTTGTATTTGCAACCATTTAGCTTGCTTTTAGACAAGCTATTTAAACACTTCAGGCCCCAGTTTCCATATTTGTCAAATGGTCGAGTAATAATCTTGACCTTTTGGGGGTTATTGCACAATTAAGTCAAATAATATATATAATATGACTAATGCCTGCCACACATTAGATGCTCAGCCAAATGGTAGGCTAAAAACACAGAGAAAAAGCAGACCTTGTTGCTGATCCCAAATTTCCCTAACAATTTCTGTTTCTCATAGGAGTCTTCTTACTCCCAGAATCCTATGGGCAGCCCCCAGGTACCCAGAACATCATGGTACCTGCCACTAAGGTCAAACCTTCTAGGTCTCAAGGTTGGAGGCAGAGAGACCACAGGAGGCTGTTACAGTCATCTCTTCTGAGACGGTGCTGGCCTGGAACAAGGCAGATGCAGTGCTGGGAAACAGAAATACAGATTTGAGGACTACCTACTAGGTACTGTGGGTAGGTTTTCAGACACACTGATATGGGTAGAGAGGGTGAAGGGGCAGTCAAGGATGGGACTGAGGTTTCAGGCCTGAATAACTAAGTGAATGTGGGGTTCTTAGCACATAGGCAGCAAATGTTATCATTAATTTTGATGTTTTATTATCATCAGTAATAGTAACATTGGTTCCTGCATTCATGTACTGGGCAATTTGTAGATCAAGTTAGACATGCCCATGGACCTAGTACATGCCTAAATAAGACATAGTGCCCACCCTTTGCAGCCCAATGAAGAAGACTGATGCTGCTGCTAAGTCTTCTCAGTTCTGTCCAACTCTATGCNGACCCCATAGACGGCAGCCCTCCAGGCTCTGCAGTCCCTGGGATTCTCCAGGCAAGAACACCGGAGTGGGTTGCCATTTCCTTCTCCAGTGCATGAAAGTGAAAAATGAAAGTGAAGTTGCTCAGTCGTGTCCGACTCTTAGCAACCCCATGGACCACAGCCTACCAGGCTCCTCTGTCCATGGGATTTTCCAGGCAAGAGTACTGGAGTGGGGTGCCATTGCCTTCTCCAAATGAAGAAGACAGATAGATATAATACATACAGTCAGACAAATGCTATGACAGAGGAAACATGGGATCTTCGGGGAAGTCTTCCCTGAGCAGATGCCTGAACTGGAGCTTGAAGGAGTTAACAAGGTGGAGTCGGGCAGAGTAGAAGCTGCATGCAAAGGCACAGGGCTGGGAGTGACTGTGGTCCATGTGGTCCCCGGAAGGTGACTGGAGTGTGCTGGCTGCTAGTTCCCCTCCCTGCAGGAAACACCCAGTTGGCTAGGGCAAAGCCGAATCTCTTTACCTGATGA